TTTACTGTGACCAGGAAGTGTTTACTTTAGTGTCTCCTAGTGGTGACCAGCAGAAATAACTACATTATTACCAGAGAGGAAAAAGCTTTCTTGTTCATAATCATTTTAAATGCCTTTAATATGTAGGTAAATAAATAATGTACACTTGGTTTGGAAATGCAGGTTATGTTGTAATTGTGTTTGTCACATAATCTGATAATGTTTTAATCACTTTTATTAACTTATCACCTGTTTATATAAACTTTTGAAAAGTAAAGCAATATTGGGCCTCATTCACCAACCGTTCTTATGAACAAATTTGTTCTTAAACCCCACGTACCCACTTTCTTTTACAAAGATTCTGACATTCACCAATGTTTTCTTATCTGAATTTGTTCTTAGCTAAGAACAGAATCTACGCACACTCAAGACCATTCGTACAAACATTTCAGTAATGATAGTTTGTTAAAAATAATCGGTTATAGCAGTTTTGTTCATTCTACAGTTCATAAAATGATAGTACTTGAATAATTTATAAAAGTAACATGTAAAAAATCATTTTAAAGTGTAAAAATTATTTTCGTGGTAGTAACGGTGATCATGCGGATTATAAATAGGTCTGTTGGCCTCGCTATCAAAATGGCATTTTTGTTACTTCTTGAAGAGCTTGCCAATCATGCTCTGAGAATGGAACACATGTTTGAAGATCATTTAGATTTATTTGGCACACAGCGTTCACAGAGGTGATATCTTTCCATATATCAACTTTCTTGGGGGCTTTATATCCACTGGTTACGATACTAAATAACATGTGTCTATTTGCATTTACCTCCTGTACAGTAAAATCCAGTTATAACGGACTTCAAGGGACCTGGCAAAACAGTCTGTTATATCCAAAATCTCCCAGGTAGCATTCCCACATGGGCCCCATATGGGCCCCATCAAAATCTGCACCCAAGAATCATATGGGCCCCATGTGGGCCAGCCCAGAAACCCCAAATGGGATCGGTATAATAATAATAATAATAATATATTTTATTTGTATCGCACTTCACATTTAAAACAATCTCAAAGTGCCACAGAATAAAAACATTGTCATAAAAAGCAAAAATATATCTGGAAGATGGTAAAACTAACAAACTAACATAAAACTGAAAAACTAACATAAAATAATTAAATCAAGAAATAAATCTAGAAAATGGTAAAAACTATAAACCTAACATAAAACTTACATCATAAGAACTCAGATATAAAAGATGAAAAGCAGCAACTGAGGTCAATAATATGTTCTGCTAAATAGAAATGTTTTAAGTGCTTTTTTAAAGTGCTCAGTAGTCTGTGGTGCCCTCAGATGATCAGGGAGGGCATTCCATAGGCGAGAGGCAGTAGAACAGAAAGCCCTATCCCCCATGGTACTGAGCTTAGTCCTGGGTGGGAGAAGGTGATTAGAGTTCATAGAGCGGAGAGATCGTGTTAAGGTTTGTGGGGTGAGCAACTCTTTCAGGTATGTGGGAGCATTTCCATAAATGCACTGGTGAGTGAGCAGGCAGACCTTGTATTCGATCCTTGCTGAGATGGGGAGCCAGTGGAGTGTGTGTAGAGTTGTGTATCGTCGGCGTAGCAGTGAAATGATAGCCCATAACGATTTATAACACCATCAAGGGGAAGCATGTACAGAATGAAAAGAAGGGGTCCGAGTACAGAACCCTGAGGCACTCCACAAGACACCTTGTGTTCCCAAGACTTTGCATTTCCAATGGAAACATATTCTGTTCTATCTGTAAGATATGATTTGAACCAAGAAAGGGCAGCATCAGCAAGACCTATGGAGTGACATAACCGATTTAAAAGTATGCCATGGTCGACAGTGTCAAATGCTGCAGACAGATCAAGGAGAACAAGGAGAGAAGGTGAGCCGGCATCAGCTGCCATCAGTAAATCATTAGTAACTCTGACCAGTGCTGTTTCTGTGCTGTGAGCAGAGCGGAAACCAGATAAAAATTTTTCAAACAGGTTATTGTATTTAAGATGGTCCTGAAGATGAGCAGCAACAACCTTTTCCTGCACTTTGCAGAGAAATGGAAGGTTAGAAATGGGCCTGTAATTTGCCAAGACATCTGGATCCAGTGTGGGTTTTTTAAGAATTGGTTAAATTATTGAAGTTTTTAGAGCATGTGGAATGTAGCCATCCTGGAGAGAAAGACTGATTACCATGGTGAGGAATGGGCTTATGGCAGAAGTGTTTGCTTTCACCAGGGCTGTAGGAAGGGGGTCCAGAGCACAGGTGGAGGGTTTCATCCTCCTAATAATGTCTTCAATCTCTTGCTGGGAAACTTCTGGAAAGTAGTTTAGAGACCTGCAGAACTCAAACCGTAAACAGTTCGTCAATGCAGGTGGAACAGAAGAACCAGGAGTGACAGTATGAATTGAGTCAATTTTTGTTTTAAAAAAAGTCATAAAATTATTACAGTGTTCTTCAGTAGCTTCTATATGCAGCGGGGTTTGTGGTTTAAGAAGGTGATTGATGGTGGAAAACAACTGCTTTGAATTTCCAGGACTGCTTTTGATGGCATTAGAATAAAACTGTGACCGTGCTTCTGTAAGAGATTTCGAGTAAGCCTTCTGATGCTCACGGTAAGCTAATTTATGAACAGTGAGACCTGAAGCCTTATACCGACGCTCAAAAGCACGTCCGGCTGCTTTCATTTTCCGTAGCTCACTGGTGAACCAGGGGGCTGATCGAGAAAAGGTCACATTTCTGGTTTTGAAAGGGGCATGAAAATCCAGAATTCTACGCAAAGTTGTGTTATAAGAGTCCACTGCATCGGTTAGTGATAAAACATTTGCATTTAGACAGTGCTGTAAATCAGTTGTCATAGTTTCTAAATTGATGCTTTTCCAGTTTCTGAAACAGATTTGTCGTTTGGGTTTTGTGTAAGATTTAAATTGTAACTGCATCGAGATCGTAAGCAGAAAGCTTGTGGACAGGAGCACAGTCAGTAATTACCAAGTCAACGGTATGCCCTCTGATGTGCGTGGGGCAAACAACAAGTTGACGGAGATTAAAACAGTCCAATAATTGATGAAATTCGACTGCAAAACGGCAAGAGGGGGAGTCCACGTGGATGTTCATGTCTCCAAGAACCATAATATTAGCAGAAGTAGTACAGAATGTTGAGAGAAGATTGGACATCTCAGTAATAAATGATGAATTTGGTTTTGGTGGACAGTAAATGAGTAGTATGGTCAGATGGAGGGGAGGGTTACATTTAAAAGCCAAACATTCAAGAGAATGCAACTCAGGCAGCGGCAGAGGAAGCAAGTCCAGATCTTTGCGGTGGATGACGGCCAAACCACCACCACGACCAGTGCTGCGGGCTTTCTGAATGTAGCTATAGCCAGAAGGACATGACTCATTTAAAACAGAAAAAACATCAAGCTGATGCCAGGTTTCTGTAAGGCACATCAGGTCCAAACACTTGTCCAATATATGATTGTGTATAAAACATGCTTTGTTTGCTAAAGACTGTGCATTAAACAGCTCAATTTTGATATTGGGGTAAAGCAGAAAAACTCTGTATTGGCCGAAGAACGTTGAAATCCACACGGCAATTTCTGTTGTGCGCCCTGATTGATGTTGCTATGGGAGTTCCAACGCTTATTGTCCGAGGAGCAACGGTGCTCTGATGACGCGGTTTAATCGTGACAGTGCGTACGGCCGTCCAGAAGGACGGAATAGTGCAACCAGTCCGGGAAAAAACAAACTTTCTACCAGAGCCTCTGTGGATATAACGAGGGCGGCGAAGAAATCCACGTTGTTTAATAAGTGATATACACATTGGAACGGTGAAATTGTTGAACTTCATCAGCTGGTCGACGGAATATTTCAACATCATGCCGATCAAGGAAAGTTAATTCTGTAGTTTGATACTGGCCATGGAAGTATTGCTTCAGCTGTAGAACTGTTGGTTCAAAATCCTCAATTTGTCTGGGGTGAGCAGACACGACGACTCGACAGAACGGAGGTACGCAGAGAGTCGCAGGCAAGTCCAAATCCACACAAAATGAATAAAATCCAGCCGAGTTAAAAAAATAAAACAGCAATATACTGGACAAACTCTTTAAACTGTTGTAAACCGTTAAAAAAAGTCAATAAAAAGTCAAAAAGTTGTATAAAAGCTCTAAAGAAAAAGAAGAAAAGGAGAAGCGGCGAACAGCCCACGCCAGCATCCTCTCCCTACGCACACCTCAATACGCACCTCAATGGTAGGGGCTCCCGGCTGATCATTCCAAATATGGGTTATTGCTGGACCCCACATGGGCCACATTACCTGGGCACAATGTGGGCCAGCCCATATGGGCAAAGATGTGGGATTTATCAGGGCCCCATTACCTGGGCACAATGTGGGCCAGCCCATATNTGGGCACAATGTGGGCCAGCCCATATGGGCAAAGATGTGGGATTTATCAGGGCCCCATTACCTGGGCACAATGTGGGCCAGCCCATATGGGCAAATGATGTGGGATTTATCTGGGCCTCATATAGGCCACAATACCTGGGCACAATGTGGGCCAGCCCATATGGGCAAATGATGTGGGATTTATCTGGGCCCCACATGGGCCACATTACCTGGGCCAGCCCATATGGGCAAAGATGTGGGATTTATCTGGGCCCCACATGGGCCACATTACCTGGGTACAATGTGGGATTTGTCTGGGATATGCAAAATCAACAATCAAATTTTGCATTTTGCATACTTAAAGAACATATTACGTTTTACAAGAGGAAGTAATCCAGAAAATGTGTTTTCACAATCCTGCTAATTTAAACTGCGGCATCCATAGTACAGTAGCTGGTATTTGGAATGATCGCTACTGGATTATATTAAGATTATTTACACATGGTAACTAAATTAAATTGAGCAAACAGTGATGAGTTTTACAGGTAAACTGTAAAATAACTTAAACTGATAAGTTAAACTGTGGCTGAACCAAAAGTAAAGAAACAGATAGGCCTAAAATCAGTTTTATGCAATATTTATTTAAGGAAAATCACACACTGACATCACAATTAAATAAAAAATCAGTTTACATTTATTTTACAAATTAAAAAACCCTCTTAGTCCACCAATTCCAGTCTCCCCTGTTTGGAAGGGCCACTCTCCTGCTCTTCCTCTTGTCTGCGTCTCTTCTTCCGCCTTTTAAATCACATGCATTGTAGAGGAATGAGGTAATGCTTCCTTTCACCTCTCTTTCGTTTTTGAATTTTGCCACACAGCACCTGGAAAAAAGGTGAGGAATAATCTAATTAAATTTGTGCATTCCATTTGGCAGTAAGTGATATTTTATCTGTTTATCTGTTTATCTAGATATATCAGTCAATCTCAGAGTGCAACTTTAAAATCACCAACCTAAAAATACAATAATATCTGCATTTCTATTGTACTGGGAGCAGCAGAGCATAAAAAAAATTAAAACTGAAAAAAACTAATGTTAAATATATTACCACTTCTCAATTTATTCCAAACTTTGCCAGACTGCCAATAAATTTACCGCGATGTACGTAAATTTGAACCCTCCTTCCTCTTCCTCAGTCCCCCCTTAATTTACGTCCATGCTTCTACGCATCTCTATAGTGTTTCTTTGCAAACAGGTTTCGGCTTTTAAAACACCCCTCCCCCAGGCCCGTTAAGGTGAAGGACGAGAGACGCTAAAGCAAGGCGCCGGGAAAATGCTTGATACATGCAACATGTCCATCATATGCATTTAAAAAGGACGTTCTGAAATAATTATCAAAAAGGAACTAGATTACATTGGCAAATAACATTTGTTCTCTCGCTGAATTGAGTTCTAATTTAATAATCATCATTTTACATGATGTTACGAAAAATGGTTACAAATGTTTTAAACTGATCTGACTACAATATTGTACTTTATACTTTAACATCTATCACAGTATAGATTAGACGGCGTTTTAATACATATATATACACACAAACACACACAATGGCGGTCATATACATTAAACAATGTTGTAAATTTAAAATAAAGCGCATGCTCACAAAGCATTTGAGTTGGAAACTCAAATCAAACAATCAACTGTAAAATTACTTACCTAAAACGTACCGGGAAAGTTTTCAACTTCTGTGGAATTTTCCGGGTGGACGTCCGGTGAAATAGCCGTTGGAATGTATCGCGCATGCGCAGTACAGCTCTAGTCCGCAATGCCTTTTCGAAAGGTGCCTTTTTTCTGTTTTTTCTACGCCAATGACTGATTGTTTGATGAATCTGTATGTATGTGGTCTTCAAGTATGTTATTTTTAAAATGTATTCACTCCTATTTTGTTATGATGTTTATCAAAAAAAAAAGATTTAAGATTAGATGTAATTATCAGCTAAAACACAGATCTTATCAAAAGCTGTAGCCTATATTAAAATGCGCTCTGGGGGGGGAGCAGTCACAATGACGTGTGAATGTGTCATCTCTGCTTGGCCACAATGAAAAGAGATATGTTTGAAGGGGCTAATTAGGGAGAGGTTGTTTTCCTAACCTAAGAACACTGAACCAACGGTCAAGCATGGTGGTGGTAGTATCATGCTGTTTTGCTGACAGTACTGTACATCAGTACATTGCACAAAGAGGATGGAATAATGAAGCAGCACTAGATAGTGAGGGAATAATTAATAAAATAAAGGGAATGATTCTATAAGGCTGTAACTAATCAAAACGAGAACTGACAAGGCAAGGCTACCTAATCAGAACAGATAGGGGGGGCGACAGAGAATATCAGCGGCCCCTACTTATCTTTTAGCCTTCCAGAAGGACAATTACGAGCCGGCTAGAATCACACATGTGGTTGTCACGTAGACGGAAGGTACTGAGAAAGGGGGGGGAGATGCCCAAAGGGCTTTAAAAGGGATACAGCTGATACATATGGCAGAGCCTTCCTCCTGTACATGCTGAATGTATGTCAGACGGCTGCTCGCGGATTGCAATCTGTCAGACAATAAACCGGTGATTTGCAACTTCTCCCCGTGTCAGCTGTGAATCTCTTCTCATCCACGGACCCGGTGGAGACAGCGTGCTCCAACAATTTGGGGGCTCGTCCGGGATCCCCAGGAGATTCGCAAGATTCGGCTAAGGGTTGACGCGGCCTACTTGGACACAGAGAACTGCGAGGCGCCGACTAGAAGAGGTGAGCAGAGCCTGTTACATCAAAATCTGCACATTGGATATGTCAAATTGAGCAGTATGAAGTGTCCAGGGGCCCGTCGATAAATTAAGACGGAGGAGAGGTTGCACGCACTGTGTTTATACAGTATATTGTGTTGTCTATGTATTGTGTATGCATTGTGTCCAGGTATCGTGCGCAAAGAAATAGAACCTTAAGGAGCGGAGGGTACGGGACCCACGCAGGGAAATAGAATTTTAAGGAGCGGAGGGTACGGGACCCCCGCAGGGAAATAGAATTTTAGGGAGCAGAGGGTACGGGACCCCTGCATTGTCCTTGGTGTGGCAACCCCACTATTTGCTGACGAGCGGTAGAAAAGCTGGGTGGGAGACCCGGGGAATTCAGGACCCCCGAACTCAAGATTGGGAGGAGGGAATAAGGTCCCCCTCTCTAACAAAAAAAAAAAAAAAAAAAAAAAAAAAGAAGGGGTGAATCAAAGCACCAGCTTGGGTGCAGTTGTACTGGTTTGTGTGTGAGCAGGGTTGTGGGTTCTTCCTGTTCAGGGTGCTCGCCGCTCGCTCTGTGTTGGTTGAACTTGCCCTGCCCGTGGCTCTGCTGTCACTGCTTGCGGTCTTACAGTTTGTCAGAACCGAAGGGGAGTTCTCAGCAATTGGACGCCCAAAAGCGTGCCAGCCCGGCCGCACCCGCTGACTCAGTACGAGCAGGGCCGACAGGTACCTCGGGCGTTCATTACAACTGCCGAGCAGGACCTCGCCTAGGGTGAGTTCTAAGAACACCCTTAGCTTGGACTCTCGGGAGGGTGGGTGACGCCTGAAGGCTATTTTGCCGGCCTTGGTCGAGTCAGAACACCGGTAGTGCGGTCGATAAGCTGA